TCTCTCCTTCAATTCTGAATGACAACTTTGTCAAGTAGAGTAATACTGATGGAAATTTCTATCAGCACCTAAATATATTATGCCACTCTCTTCTGGCCTGCAAAGTTTCTCCTGAAAAGTCTGCTGGTAGTCTAATGGGGGCTTCTCTGTACATAACAAGTCGTTTTCCTCTTGCTGCTTTTAAGATTCTCTCCTTGTCTTTAACTTTTGACACTTTAATTATAATGTTCTTGGTGTGGGCTTCGTTGGATTCCTGGTATTCAGAACTCTTTGGGTTTCCTGGATCTGGGTGTCTGTTTCCTTCCCCATGTTTTGGAAATTTTTAGCCATTGTTTCTTCAAATAAGTTTTCTTCCCCTTTCTCTCTTTCTTCTCCTTCTGGAAGCCCCATAATATGAATACTGATTCACTTAATATTGTCCCATAAGTCCCTCAAGCTATCTTCACATTTTTACATTCTTTTTTCCCTTGGCTATTCTGATTGAGTTCCACTGCCCTGTATTCAAGGTTACTGATCCTTTCTTCTGCTTTATCTAGTCTTGCTATCAAATCCTCTCATGTGTTTTTCACTTCAGTTATTGTATTCTTCTGCTCTTTGACTTCTGTTTGGTACATTCTTATATTTTCCATCTCTTTGAGTTCTCACTGGGTTCATTCATTCATCTCCCAAGTTCGGTGAGCATCTTTATGACCATTATTTTGAACTCTTTATTAGGTAAATCACTCTTATTAAGGATTTTTTTCTGAGGTTTTATCTTGTTTTTAGTTCAGAACATATTTTTCTGTTTCTTCATTTTGCTTGACTCTGTGTTGGTTTCTGTGCATTAGATAAAATGGTCATCTTTCCAAGTCTTGAATAGCAGCCTCATGTAGTAGTGAATCTTATTGTTCAACCTTGCCCTAGCTGTTGTCTCTTAAACCTTTCAGTTGTCCAAGCATCCTGTTTTATTTTAAACAGCTCCCAGCTGGAGGGTGTTATGCTGAGTGAAATAAGTCAGTCAGAGAAAGACATGTATCATATGACCTCACTGATATGAGGAATTCTTAATCTCAGGAAACAAACTGAGGGTTGCTGGAGTGGTAGGGGGTTGGGAGGGATGGGGTGGCTGGGTGATAGACACTGGGGAGGGTATGTGCTATGGTGAGCACTGTGAATTATACAAGACTGATGAATCACGGATCTGTACTTCTGAAACAAATAATGCAATATATGTTAAGAAAAAAAAAGAAGAAGAAGATAGCAGGAGGGGAAGAATGAAGGGGAGTAAGTTGGAGGGGGAGACGAACCATTAGAGACGATGGACTCTGAAAAACAAACTGAGGGTTCTAGAGGGGAGGGGCGTGGGGGGATGGGTTAGCCTGGTGATGGGTATTAAAGAGGGCACATTCTGCGTGGAGCACTGGGTGTTATGCACAAACAATGAATCATGGAACACTGCATCAAAAACTAATGATGTAATGTATGGTGGTTAACATAACAATAAAAAAATTATTAAAAAAAAAAAAAAAAAAACAGCTCCCAGTAGTTGAGGTTGTGCCAAGAGCTATCAGTGTCCCAAAGGGGAGGATCTCAGCACCTAAATGTAGGCTTGTTGTCATCTTTTTAAAGTATGCACATATATACATACAGTCCTTTGGAACCACAAACATAAGCCCGACTGACCATCAGAGCTAAGGAATCTGGAAGTGTCTCCTGGGCAGCAGTCCCAAAAATTGGGGCACCATGCAAGTGCATATAGTCCTTTCTAAAAGATACCAGCAAGCTGGAGCAAGACAAAGGGAGAGCACAAAGATGGCATCCACTGGCCTCCACTCCATGAAAATAACTCCATAAGCTTCTAGATGTGTGCCAAACCTGAAACCTGCCTTTTGGGCTAAAATTCCAACACAAGCATATAGGTCTCTTTCACAGAAAGCCTGGGGGTTTTCATGTCTGTGTGGTACCCTGGGTATAGTAGCCTGCCAAAAACTGTCTCCTACTGTTACAGTCCCATGGGGCCCAGGAACACAAGCCCTCCTGGCCACGAGAGCCAGCTCATCAGTGAGTGTCCCCTGCGTGGCAATTGCACATACCAGGAAGGGCTCCAGACATAAAAACAGGGGCATCAGATGTGTGTAAAATCTCCCTCTGGGAGATACTGGCACTCTGTAGTGCAGCAAAGAGGGGAAAGTGAAGATGGTATCCACTAGCCTTTGTCCCCATAGAGTACCCCAGCAGGCCCCTAGATGTGTGTTAAACTAGATGCCTGCCCCTAGACCAAGGCTTTAAGATAAGGAAATGAGTCTCTTTCACAGAAAGTCTGGGTGCCCATTGGCTGCTTCTGCACTGGTTCCTGGGGTGGGTGAGTCCAAGCACACAAGCCCTTTAAGAGCCATTTCTCACTTCACTATAGCCTTGTGGGTCTCATGGACACAAGCTCTGTTGGTTTCCAAAGCTAGATGTTTTAGGGAGTCATCTTTTAGTTGCAGGTCTTAAAAGTTATGCGGCTCAGTGTGAGATTCAAACCCTTCACTCCTTGGAAGTTCAGGTTTTAAGTTCCCTTCCTGATTGCGTGTCACCGTGACAGAGGTGGGAGTTATAGTGAGATTGTGTCTCAGCCTGTCCTACCCACATAGATGTGGGGTTTTTCTTGTTTGCCCAGTGTATAGGAGTCAGCTAGTTTTAAGGGTTCTTTTCAGAGGAAATTGCTCCATATATAGCTGTTGATTTGGTGTATCTGTGGGAAGATGTCAGCTCAGGATCTTCTTACATCATCATCTTGAATCAGAGCTCTGAAATTAATATCATGAAGAGGTACCTGCACTCCCATGTTCATTGCAGCATTATTCACAGTAGCCAAGATATGGAATCACCTAAATGTCCCTCAGTGAATAAATGGATAAAGTATATTCTGTGTGTACACACACAATGGAATATTATTCACCCTTTAAAAAGAAAGAAATCCTATCATTTGCAATGATGTGCATGAACCTGGAGTACACCATGCTAAGTGAAATAAGGCAAGCACAGAGAGACAAATATTGCATGATCTCACTTATATATAGAATCTAAAAATAGTCAAACACAAACAGGCATAGAGTAGAATTTTGGTTAGCAGGGGCTGAGGGGAGAAGGAAATGGGGAAGTGCTAGTCAAAGGGTACAAAGTTGCAGTTAGGATGAAACATACAACATGGTGACTATAGTTAATAATACTGTACTGAATACTGGAAATTTTCTAAGAGAGTAGATTTCAGGTCTTCTCATCCCCCTTCCCCCCAGAAATGCTAACTAAGTGAGAAGATGGTATGTTAAGTGGTTTTACTGTCATAATTGTTTCACTATATATTATCTCATTGTACATCTTAAATACAATTTTTACTTAAAACGTTAAAAAAATTATAAAAAAATTTTAGCCACAGTAAAAATGTAGAGAAACATTAACTGCAATTATGTATCTTATTTAACCCAATATATGTGAAATGTTATTTGAACATGTAATCAATATAAAAATATTGTTTCACTTTTTTCATATTAAGTCTTCAAAATCTATTATGTATTTGCACTTAAAGATACCTCAAATTGGACTAGTCAAGGTGCCTGGGTGGCTCAGTCGGTTAAGCCTCTGCCTTCGGAAGCTCAGGTCATGATCCCAGGATCCTGGGATTGAGTCCCACACAGGGCTCCCTGCTCAGTGGGGAATCTGCTTTTCCCTCCTCCTTTGCCCATCCCCCCAGCTCATGCTCTCTTTCTCGCTCTCTCAAATAAATAAAATCTTTAAAAACAAAATTGGAGTAGCCATATGTGGATAGTGGCTACCATATTTGACCATGCAGATGTGAATAACAGGAGTTCCAGAAAAAGAATGGATAAGGGTAAAAAGAGGCAGGGAAGAAATGATAAATTTAAGATTTCTAAGAACTAAGGGAGAGTAGTTTCCAAATTGAGCAGGCTCTCAGAAAAATAAATTAGACCCAGACCAGGATACTTCATCATGATATTTTGAAACACCAGAGACCCAGAGAAACATCTATAGGCTTTAAAGGAGAAAAAAAAAACAAAAAAAAACAGGTTATTACAGTCAAAGAATCAGATATCAGCATGGCTTTAGACTTTTCAAAAACAATGGATAGATAGGAGACAGTGAATCATTGCCTTTAAAGTTCTGAAGGAAAAGCATCACTAAGGTATCATTCTATAACTATGAACCAAGTTAGGAGGTAGATATGAACCAAGTTAGGAACCAAGGTAGAAGGTAGATAAAAGATATTTTCAACTATCCAAGATCTCAAAAAAGTTACCTGCCATGCTCCCTTTTTCAGGAAGCTACTGAAAGGTGTGTCACACCAACAAGAAAGTCAACCAAGAATGAGGAAAGTGTGAAATACAAGAAATGGGAGAAAGCTGAAAGGAATCCCTGGGATGAAACTGTGAACCCAACCTAGAGGGCAAGAAGTCCCCGCTAGAGTAGGTCGGAAGGAAGCAAAAAAGACTTCATCAAGAAAATCCAGTTGATAGAACCCTGATGAGACTAATTGTGGATGTAGAAAATTGGCAGATATGGGCGTTAAATAGTAACATGTACACAGAAATCTAAGCAAATAAGAGATAAAGAAAAATAAAAAGTTATAAACTCTGAATGTTAAGTAATTTATATTAAGAGGTCCAGAAGGGCATGTAGGTAAAGTGGAATGAGAGGTAAAAGAGCTAAAACCTCATCTTTCATAGTATGAAATTAATATACAGTTCTTAAAACTGAAATGTAAGGAAGAAGTAATATAGGCATCTTATCTGAAAATATAAAGATAAAAAAATAATCAGGTGTTAAAAGTAGCTGATTTGGGGGAAGGGAAGAAGGGATCTGCCAGTTTTTCTAACAAATTTTGTAAAACTATGTTTCTCTAAGTCTCAAGTATATATACACATACCTAACTTATTTTAAAAGAAACATGGGCGGTAATAAATCTGGGTGAATAAAGGACCTTTACCAGGCCATTGCTAATGAATATCCTTATCTCCTAGCATTGAGTATTGGTTCCGCTGCATGGATGTGGATGGGGATGGTGTACTCTCCATGTATGAGCTAGAATACTTCTATGAAGAGCAGTGTGAACGGATGGAAGCCATGGGCATTGAGCCCTTGCCATTCCATGATTTGCTGTGCCAGATGCTTGACCTGGTGAAGCCAGCCACTGATGGTAAGATTAAGTAAAAGGCCATTTGCACTTTTCACCTATGTAACAGAGTGGGGCATTTAATCCTGGATTGTCCTAAATTATTTAACTTCCAGAGTCTTCCATACTGGCTTCCCAAATACAGAAATATCTAAATTTCTCCTTTACTATTAGTGTGGAACCAACAATCGATGGCAAATCCTATTTAAGAAATTTTTCCATAGAGGGGCGCCTGGGTGGCTCAATTTTTCCATAGAGGGGCGCCTGGGTGGCTCAGTTGGTTAAGCATCCAGCTCTTGATTTCAGCTCAGGTCATGATCTCAAGGTTGTGAGAGCGAGCCCTACATGGGGCTCCCATGCTCAGCGGGAAGTCTGCTTGAGATTCTCTCTCTCCTCCCTGTGCCTCGGCCCACTGCACTCTCAAATAAATAAGTAAATCTTTAATTTAAAAAAAAAAAAATTGTCCCTAGGAACAGAAAGCAGATTAGTGATTGCCCAGGGCTTTGGGTAAGGGGAGTTGGGGAAGGTCTGCTTGATGGGTATGGAGTTTCCTTTTGAGGTGAAGAAATGTTATGGAATGCAATAGTAGTGGTGGTTATACAACATTGTGAATATACTAAAAGCCACGAATTATACACTAAAATGGTTAAAATGGTGAATTTTATGTCAGCTTTACCTCAAAAAAATGGGATCTTGTATAATAAAATTAGCATATACATATACTTTTAAACTTCAGTAAAAGATTTTTTTCATTTGCCAAAGCACTTCTTGAAATTCACTAGATTTTTTTTTTTACATAGGCAAAATAACGCTACGAGATCTGAAGAGATGCAGAATGGCACATATCTTTTATGACACTTTCTTTAATCTGGAGAAATACTTAGACCATGAACAGAGAGATCCCTTTGCGGTCCAGAAGGTACTGGTTTTAACTTCTGCTTGAGGGCTGCAGTATCAGGGGTTGTGTGCTACAGATAAAAATGATCTCTGCCTATAGGAATCTTGTGTTTAAAGAGGTAACATTTAAAACATTTCGTCACATACTGAAAAGAGAAAAATGGACCTAGAGCACATCTCTCTCCACAACTAATCTTCACGTTTAGGTAACCTCCATCTGCCTATCATTGAGTGAACTGTATGGCCTGTGTACTTACATATATATTAGAAACTAGTTACAAAAGTTTGAAAAAAAATGTCCTTCCATATTTTAAAACAATATATCAATAGGCATATCTGTACTAGAAAGCATATTGGGGTTAACTAACTAAAACTTTTTTTAACAGGGATAACCATATCAGGAATATTAAAACCACCCATTTCCAGGATGACATGGTAAACAGCTTTCCCCATCATAATGAAAACTAGACATTCTCCATGATGGACAACCCTCAGATAATATACTTTTCAAGTGTTAATGATTGTTGTGCATGACTATCACTGTGAAGTCATTCTATACCTGAGTAGAGATGAGCACCCTTCCCCATACACAAAAATCTGTGGACCCTCAAAAAACCCTGAACATCATATGGTCTATGTCCAAAAAGGGGGGGGGGGGCAGAATATCAACACTTCCCTTCTATTCCCTTGTTTAAAAAGTAAAAATTATGTTGATAGAAAAGGACTGTTTCCATTGGTCCTACAGGAGTATAACTGCAGGAAACTTGCACAGTCTTTTCTTTTTCTTCCACATGTTGACCTAAATAGTAGTAACAATACAAAGATCACCTTCTAAAAACAAATATTCTGCACCTGATCTTGGGGCATATCATGGCACATTATCACTAGCTTAAAGTCAGAATTATGTTTTATTGACTCAAAGGTGCCCATTATTTTATATACTTTTAAACAAGCAAACAGAAATTGCCATTATAAATCTAAGATGTGTGTCAGTTTCAGAGATGTTATAAGGATGTGGTAGGGCGCCTGGGTGGCTCAGTTGGTTAAGTGACTGCCTTCGGCTCAGGTCATGATCCCAGGGTCCAGGGATCGAGTCCCACATCGGGCTCCCTGCTCGGCAGGGAGCCTGCTTCTCCCTCTCCCACTCCCCCTGCTTGTGTTCCCTCTCTCGCTGTCTCTCTCTCTGTCAAATAAATAAAATCTTTAAAAAAAAAAAAAAAAAGGATGTGGTAGGAGTTCTTAAAATGGATTAAATATCATAACACATTGTATGGTCAATATTTAGGTATTTGCATTCTTCTAGGCATAATTAACCTTACATCTGAGGGCAGTGCTAACTCATTTTATTTTTTTTTTAATAATTTTTTTATTGTTATGTTAACCACCATACATTACATCATTAGTTTTTGATGCAGTGTTCCATGATTTGTTGTTTGTGCATAACACCCAGTGCTCCACGCAGAATGTGCCCTCTTTAATACCCATCACCAGGCCAACCCATCCCCCCACCCAGTGCTAACTCATTTTAATCATGGAAAAACTATTTTACCTGGAATATATAATCCAAGATCCTATCCATATTGTAGAAGGAAAAGAAAATGTATAGCCTTTCCCTTCATTTCTTCTATTTGTGTTATAAATTTTACTTTATAAGAGGTGACAGTATATCAAGGTTTGTTCTGATCTGCAAAGAACATTTTTAGTCAGAAAGTGCTCAAGAAATTCCAGACACTATGTTGAAGAGACATATGGTCAAATAAAGAAAAAAAGAACAAAAAGTAGCAATGAAGCAATTTGGGGAAGAAGGGCTGTTTCCAGATAGCACAGATGACATGGTATCTGAGCTGGCTTTTACAGAAGCAGTAAAAATGTGCCAGAGGAAGGGATGGTATATTATTTCAGGTGGGCATTTGCAAAAACCACAAGTCACTCCAGATAGCTGCTACGCAAAGTGCCAGAGAGAAGGGCCCGGGGAAAGTTCTCTGATTATAAGGCAAAAGAATCTAGACCTCAAGAATTAGCTGCCCAGGGGTTCACTATAATTTTGTGATTGGAGGCACAGAAATCACTTTAGGAGTGTTACTTTAGCACTTCTTTTTACACGTTAAGATGAACCATTTTTGGGTAGGTCATCACAAATGTTGTATATAACTAAAGAAAACCTATCTCCAATTCTTTGTCTTTATTTTTGTTTCCTGTCCTCTTTGCAATCAGGATGTTGAGAATGAGGGGCCTGAGCCTTCGGACTGGGACAGGTTTGCAGCTGAGGAATATGAGACTCTTGTTGCAGAGGAATCTGCCCAAGCACAGTTCCAGGAAGGGTGAGTGAGTCTCCCTGGGTCTTATAAAACTTTTTTTTTAACAGGGGTAACCATATCAGGAATATTAAAACCACCCTAAAAAATCAAACTAGTAATCCTTATTTTTGAATATCATAAAAATGAGTGATTATAACCAACTTTAGTTGAAAGAATATTTTTCCCAGCAGTCTTCTCTTCCCTTCTTCACTAATTTCCTGAAAACTATGTTCCATTTCCTTTCATGGAGTTGTACTTTTCAGTGGAAGCTAAGATCATTGTGGAGTCATACTACAAGCCCTGTAAATACAGGATGAGGCTAAAAGAACTGAAGCTTTTTCAAATAATAAAGATGATCATGTTTAAAACAGATCTTTACCATATATGGTTTTGTGCATTCAACCCTGAACAAGAAGTTACTTCTACATGGAATTTATAATAGGGCATAATTCCATAAAGGGGCCATGGTAAGAAATTATAAGACTTTTCACTGCTTAGAACATTTCAGCAACTTTATAATTTGTTGGCTTTTTCCATCATATTCTTAGGATTCCTTTAGCAGTTCCTCTAAGGCTCTTAATTAATCCTTATTATTAATGTAATACATTTTTTGAGTAGGTAATACATTCGTATGTTTTAATATTCAAAGAAACAAAAGGATAAATAGTAAAGTTTCTTGCTGCCCAGTTTTCCTTCCCAGAAGCAATCACTGTGGTCATTAAGGCACTCTCTATCCCACTCTATCTCATATATATGTATATATACACACATACACACACATACATACATACATACATGCAAATACAGAGGCGCCTGGATGGCTCAGTCAGTTAAGCATTCAACTCTTGATCTCAGTTCAGGTGTCAATCTCAGGGTCATGAGCTCAAGCCCCACATTGGGCTCCATGCTGGGCATGGAGCCTACATTTAAAAAAAAAAATACACATATACATTCTTACATTTCTTTTTTCCCTTACACATATGTAACATATTACAGTCATTCATTGTTTGGTACCTAGCTTTTTCCACACTTGTATAAAGTTTCTGTTACACAAGATGAGTAAGTTCTAGCGATCTGCTGTACAACATTGTACCTATAGTTAAAAATGTGGTATTATGCATTTTAAAATGTTAAGAGGATAAAGCTCATGTTAAGTCTTCCTACAAAATACACACAGGAATACAAGGAAATTTTTGGAGGTGATGGGTATGTTTAGTACCTTGGTTGTGGTATCAAAGATGTATGCATATGTCCAAACTGATCAAGATGTATTCATTAAATGCATACATTTTTTTGTGTAACAATTAAACCTAAATAAAAACAATAACAAAGATTGGGAAAACAGTATCATAAACCAAAAACACTTGTATTTTATGGTTACTAAGGTATAAATGAGGCTTCACAAATATTTTGGGGGCCTTGAGTGCATGAAAAAAAGTTTAAAAACCAATAAACTGGAGATTACTCCATACATGTATCTAATGAATGTTCTACATTTTTACAGCTGCACAATATTCTACTGTATAGTAACACCATTATTAGAATAGTTATGCCACTATTAGAAATATAACATTCTAGTGAATAATCTTATATACATGTCATTTTATACATATATAGGACAAATTTCCAGAAGTATAGCAAACAGCATACTTGCAAAAACATAGGATTTTAGAGAAACCCACAAGAAATAATGCAGACACCCAGAACTAGAAACAGTTGGGAGCCATTTCTACCCCTAGGCCTAAAAGGACAAGGAGATAAAACCATCATCAGAACCCAAAGAGAATAAGTACAATGGAGAGAGTCAGCTGACAGGACTTGTAACCTTCAGTAACAGAATTTAGTCAAACTATGGCAAATCAGCTAAGAGCTATTAGAATAAATACCCAATTTCACTTTCTTCATATCCCTTAGTATCCTGCTGGCACCTCCCATTGACTTCAAATAAGAAACCAGAAGGTAAGACAACGAATTATGTGGTCCATTTGGATCAGCCTCCTGGGGCACAGAGCTAGGCAGAGAGTAGATCTAGAAGGATAAACATCAAATAAAATATCCAGCTCAGTACATAATGTCAAATAACCCTCTACAGAGATTGTACATTTCACACCCATACCATTAAGTCTTCAATATCTTTTTGGAGAGTACTGAAGAAGCCATCACCAAACCACTTTCTTTAAAGATTTCCTTAATATGCTTAGCCACAAAACTGGGGTTGAATTTTTATGTCATTGACCCTGAAACCCATAAAAATCATTCATCATTCACTGATTATTTTAAGTCTCACTGAATCAGAAGAGAAGACAGGCAAGTGGATTCACAAGAATGATCTAAAATTTTTTTGGCATTGAGCTTCCATAGTAGGACTTAGACTAAATTTACTTACGAAGCAGCATCACTACTGTTAAGAGCATGTGTGGATGTTTAGAATAAATAGATTGCCTCCAATTTTTCACTAATAGGAAGATTAATAAAATTATCCTACATATACATAGTGCAATTCCATGTAAACATTAAAAATCATTTTGTGTATATATATTTCTTGACTATCATAAAGAAAAAGTAGAGATGTGGAGAAAGGCCTTAAAAGATGAAGAAAGATGGAATAACAAAGAACAAAATAAATAAGAAAGAAAATTAGGTATATGTAAGGAAAACAACAGGGATCTAACTTAAATGTATTAGAGGAATGTAGAGAAGAGGAAGAAATATATGTAAAACATCCTAGAAGTAAAAACTGAAAATGGGAGGTAGAGAGGAGAAAGAAAATTTGTGTGTAAATTTCATTGGCAAAGCCTCCGTAGATATCCTTTAAAGCTGTAAGTCAAGTTGAGGGTTTAGGAATACTAATTAAACACTTGAAAAACAAAAGCCAGACTCTAAGTGTTCTAATTCAATCAGAAAACATATACGCACAAAAGAAAAACACAGACCACAAAGCATAAAGATGACAGAACTAAGCAAGTATTTTTAGATCAGTGAATGTAAAAGGAATAAACTCTCTTATTAAAAGAAAAGGATTCCATTTTGGAATGACAACAAAGGTTGAATTAAAAAAGAATGAACACTCAAAAAAAGCTATGCATCTGATAGATTTTTGAAACAAAATCTCCAAAAAGAATATAAAAGAAATTAGAGCCTATTATTTGCAGCCATAGTAAAATATTTCCTGAAAATAGATAAAATACCTTTGTGGGTTTTGTCCATAGACCATGTACAAAATACATATTAGGCTAGAAACAAAACTACAGTGGACTTCTAAATAGTAACTACAATTCAGACCAGCTTCTCATTTAAGGAGGTAGTCTGAAAAGCATACTATAGTTTCAATCTCTCACGCCATTTAAAAATAAGAAATACAGAGTACCACTTAGGAAGAGAAATTTTCAGTGGACCGAAAGAAGGAAAACAGATGGGGTCTGTTTGAAGAGGGAACCAGAGCTTAGGTTCTATGCAGGAGGATGGAGAAGATAATTGCTACAAATAAAGGAAGCAGCACTGAAGGGGGATCCATACCTGAATTTGACTGAAACCAAGAGCAAGAGGGAGACCAGAAGCAGCAGCCAGGTAGGTCAAACCTTTATATATCTCATCCTACCCCTAAAGGAAAGACAAAAAGCAAGAGTGTGGGATCTTGGAGCAGAGAGAAAGCAAGACCACCAAAATAACCACACCAGCAGCATGGCCCATCCATCTCTTCATTCTCATTGAAAATAGTAGTAACCTCACATTGCCCCCTCCTAAGCAGCCAGTGCAAAGAGAGGCAGAGGTCTGTTTCCAACTACACAGAAAAGTGGACAAATATCAAGCAGTTGCAAATATCAATAAAATACTCAACAAATGGAAGAACTTCTAACCCTTGGAAGGAGACTACAGCAATCACAACAAGACCTCAAGTTGAGTGTATTTACCATTTTTAGAGAGGTAAGAGAATATTGCACTCCTGAAACGAGACTGACCAGTTTCTTGGAAATTAAAAGAAAAAAATTTAAATGAAAACACAATCACTGGGCTGAATAATAAAAGGCACAGCTAAAAAGGTTTTGATTTGGGATATTGATTATGATACTGGGGTAAGAAATCCTTACCTTCCTCCAGAAACCAGTAGAAATAATAGCCAGATAACTCACAGAATTCTGTTTAAAAATATAAATATACACAGGAATCGGCAAAGTTTTCTGGCCAGGTAGTGAATATTTTAGGTTTTACAGTTCTGTCACAACTGTTTAGCTCTGGCATTGTGGTATGACAGTAGCCATAGAGAATATGTAAGCAAATGAATGTGGCTGTTTTCCAATAAAATTTTACTAATGCACCCTGATATGAACTTCCTATCATTTGCACGTCATGAAATATTCTTTTGATTTTTTTTTTCAAATTTAAAAAAGCAAAACCATTCTTAGTTCACTGGGCTGTACCAAAAAAAGGTGGAAAGAGAGATTTGTCCCATAGACTGTAGTTTGCCAATCCTGTACTAGAATGAAATTTCAGAACGTAAAAGGTATAAAGAAGAACTGAAAATCTACCAGAGACAAAAACAGATTATCCACAAAGTGAATGGAAAAAGAAATGGACCAATATCATTCAAATACTGCAAAAAAATAACTTTGAATCTAGAATTCTATCCCTATTTATATGTGAGGGCCCAATAAATTCATTTTCAGACATCCAAAGATGCAAAAAGTTTACCATCCACAGATTATCTATCTCTAAAAGAAATATTAAGGGATATTCTTCAGCAAGAAGGTAAATGGATTCTAGAGGAAACAGGGATGCAAGAAGTAATCATGAGCAACAATAGTAAAATTTATTCTTAGAACTAAATAAATATTGATCACATTTATACTGTTAAGAGTAAAAGGAGGTCAGGGTAATATACTATGAATCATTATTAGAGTGGAGAATATTGATACTGATAAATTTATATTTCTCTAACAATTTCTAAAGTATGTATGTTAAAAATATAAGATCAATCACTAAGAGAATAAAAGTGAAATGGAAAATTTTCTAATCAATTTTTAGAA